CCTCCCAAAGTGCTGGGATTATAGGCATGAGCCACCATGCCTGGCCCAACAGAGTCATTTTTATAAAGGAAAACCCCCATTCCTCTACCCACAAACTTTTGTGTTTTACATACCAAGTGAGTTAGAGGAATTAGGCATTTCTTTGCTTGAGTTTATTCACTGTTAATCTTCCAAATGTGTCACCTTGAGAAGCTAAGGAGAGGCTGAGTCTCAGGCACCTGAAATGCGGTTGCTGGTCAGTAAGCCCCACCAATTTATTGACAACCAGAGGAAAAGGTGCCATGGTCTCCTTTTCTAAACTTGAGTTTCATAAAGACAAGAAACCCATTCATTGCTTCAAAAGCAAGTATTTCCTCACAGTGATCCTGTTTGTATTGAAGAGAGCCTACTTAAGACATTGATGGTGACACTGATGCTGACAGCAATGACAAGAATGCCTGCTGGGGCAATGACAAGATGGAGATGTGTGGAAAAGGACTCAGCTATTTCAACTCTTTAGGTGACAAAGGAAGAGGACATACCCAAGCTGCATCCCAGACATCCTTCTTCACAAGGGACACATTCTTCATAGTCTGGGTCTTGGACTTCACCTACACAGAAAGAGAAGTGAAAAACACAACTCATTTCCATTGAGTGGAGACACATGAATTGCTATAAAAATATGTTCTTGTGTAGCTTCTTTTAAAGTAAATCATAGAGCAATTATGAAGCCCAAAACCATCCTTGAGGATATATGTGGTTTCTACTTTTTAATCTCCTTCTATTAATTGAATAGATTAAATCAGCTTGATTGGGTACAAAGAGAACCAGGTTGGACCATATGCCATGCAGCTAGTTTTGAAGTCAAGCTTGGTGATTTTATTTATTAAAGAAACCAGTTTTGCTTCTGGGAAAATGGAATTGGGTATGTAAATGAACAGGTTCCCTTCCTCTTTTTATCTGTCCTACTAAACACTTTTTAAAAAGTTTAAAATCTTTTACTACACTCATAAACATTAAGGAGAGACAGAATTGAGTGTCTTAATTATTCTAAAAATGTCTTGGAGCTCTCTTCAGCACCAGACCAGGCATAATTCTCATACAGAGCAGAGCAATAACAGTCCGTGGCATTCTTACATAGAAGAGAACCGAAACTATAAGTGTTGTTTTTTAATTTCCTTCTTCCCATAAAAGATAAGAAATTGGGCAATAACAATAACACATACGATTCACAGACCATTTTGATATTTTCAAGTAGTTTTAGGCTGATCCTCACTGGCTTCTCAAAGCCACTCTGTCTTGATGCTCTGCTCTTCCTTTGACAGATGAAGACAACAAGGCATGGGCAAGTTAGGTGAGTTTTGCCCAGGGTCTCGTGTCTAGTAATTGGGAAGGAGAAAACTATTGACCCAGACTTTTGGATTCTAACCTTATTTTCTCTCCCCTATATCCTGTCCACAATCCCCCCACCTGCCAAGATCATTTTCTTTTCTTTTTTCTTTGTTTTTGAGATGGAGTCTTGCTCTGTCTCCCAGGTTGGAGTGCAGTGGCACCATCTCGGATCACTGCAAGCTCTGCCTTCTGGGTTCAAGCCATTCTCCTGCCTCAACCTCCTGTGAAGCTGGGATTATAGGCATGCAACACCACGCCCGGCTAATTTTTGTATGTTTAGTAGAGACAGAGTTTCACCATGTTCCCCAGGCTGGTCTCGAACTCCTGGCCTCAAGTGATCCACCTGCCTTGGCCTCCCAAAGTGCTGGGATTAAAGCACGAGCCACTGCACCTGGCCAATTTTCTATACACTTAGGTGCATTCCTACGATCTTGGATTATGTCTGGGGAAACCCAGAGAAAGGGTGTGTGAATAGAGAGAGAGAAAGTAACTTCTCTCCCCACTTGGGTATGGAGTCACCCAAAATCATCCCAAGTGCCGACACGCAAGCCAGGAAGGCAATTCAAGTCTCCAGGACATCCAGGGTGCAGACCCTCCTCCCGTGTTCTGGTGCTGGGCAAGGGCCCAGGAGCAGGCTTACCTTGTCCACACTCCAACTTCTGGCACGTGTGGTTGGTGGGCGCTATGAAGTAGCCCCTTGTGCATCTTGTGCAGATGTGCATGTTGTGGCAAAGCTCACAGTTGTCTGGGCAGGGCAGGCAGGTATTCCCTTCAGTGGCATAGTGGCCCTCTGGGCAGCTCTCTCGACACTCTCCCTGGTATAGGAAGTACTCTCGGCCATAGTTGTCTGATCAGTTACAGGGGCAACGAGAAGAGGGATAATGTACCGAGTTAGCCATGAAGCTATTATAATGTAAGATATTATATTTAAAAAAGATGCAACTGAGTGCTTTCGTTCCTAGGGACTGAGGGGTATAAAGATGGATTTAATGAAAAGTGCAATAACTATATCCTTGTAGTTGAAAAGTTTTCCTTGCAGGGAATTATTTTCCAATATTTTATATATTTCACTGAATAGCGACTACTATCTGGGATATCATTGCAAAACCATGCTCTGTGAATAACTACAATTCAAAATGTGTTTAACTTTCCCAAGGGCTCCTTTGGTATCTGTGAAATCTCTCAGACTTCGGGGGGGGGCTATAGAGATCCCATGAGAATAAACACATGCTTAATGATCGACACGTTTTATGAAAGTGCAATCTTTTAAAATGATTTTGAATTGGTATCGATCACATGCTTGCATTAACCATCTAAGGTCTGAATTTCCGCAGAGCTGCCAATGCCCATAATGATGGGCTTATTGAAGCACTAGACCAAGCACACTTCTTTGACTCTTTTACGTGCATTCCTGAAGGTTCCTGACTTCTGTCAACATTGGATTCTATAAGGAAAGAACTGGCAGTGCCCACAGCATAAAAGACCATGGGAATTTATTCCTGGTGGGAATGGAAAAGTCTAACTAGTTACAAAGCATCACAATTAGTTACAAAGGATTCTAATCAGTTACAAGTACAAAAACAACAATTAGGTGAATACTGACGCATCTAGAGGTTTCCTACTCCCACCCTCTTGGAGTTTTTGTGCTGAGTGTGCTCGGGGTATCTATCTTCTCTGAATCAGATTTCCCATATGTCCCTGCCTCTGAAGAGCAGCCGATCTGTGTTACTCAGAATAACCAGGGTCTAGGGTTCATTCATCATGTGATCTACCACATGGATATCCAAAATCATTGACCTTCAAGATGCAAGGCTGCTGAATTTGTGGATAAAGATAACACTAAACCCATGTTGCAAGTGTGGAAACTGAAAGTCAGTCTAATGTTAAATTGACTCACATGAAATTGCCAACATTTGACTATTTTTTACCTGTGAGCATGGCACTTTCACATCATTTATCATAATATTTCTTATTTATGCAAAGCCATAGTTGAAATGCGTTTTTTTTTTTTTTTTTGAGACAGGGTCTCACTCTGTTGCCCAGGCTGGAGTGCAGTGGCATGATCTCAGCTTACTGCAACCTCTTCCTCCTGGGCCCAAGTGATCCTCCCACCTCAGTCTTTCAAGTAGCTAGAACTACAGGTGCATGCCACCATGCCCAACTATTTTTTTTTTTTTTGTATGTTTTGTAGAGAGAGGGTTTCATCATGTTGCCCAGGCAGGTCTTGAACTCTTGCACTCAAGTGATCTACCTGGCTTGGCCTCCCAAAGTTCTAGATGTGAGCCACCATGCCTGGCCTGAAATGCAATTTTTAAAACATGCTTTTGGATTATGGGCTCTCAGGCTACCTTTTTTGCTGATTATGATTTTATACCTGAAGGCTACCAGTTCCCATAGGACCAAGAAAATAAAAACGGCTTCCACAGAGGTGGTGGAGGAAAATATTCTGCTGTTTCTAAATTAGACATAGAAGAGATTATCCTCTAAGGAAAGAAGAGGGTTTGGAAGGACTAATGTGCATTTGGTGATTCTATAGCTATTGATCAACATTGTGGAGCACAAAACTCTGATCTGGTGGAACCTGAAATCTCTAGAGACCACAAGAAGGTCATCCTTCCAAGTTATGTTCTCAGTCACTTTATGAAACCATAGCCAATGCCATTTCCATCCACCATGACTCATTCAGAAAAAAAATCTTTTTTTCAGAGCTCCCCAATTTCTCTGGGGTAGGTAGGAAGATTTGAGGGAAAGCAGTGAGGAAATCTACCTCTTTTGCATCCCCTACGCCTTCACATGACATCAACTCAGGACCCAGATGCTTAGGGGGACTCTAAGGCTCTAAATATGTATTTGTGGAATGACTGAATGGAGTTAATTCATATTTGGCAATATTCAATTTTTCCCCCATATCCAACTGGATCATCAATCTTGAAAATTAGCAACAATGGGCCCAGATTTAGAAGGAAGTGTTCTTCAATCCCGTTTTTATTGTTTAGACATGGCTTTATTGAGGGGCCTCTTCAGGTGTTATAATTTGGGTTTAAAGAACAGAGATTTGAGGGGGTCTGAGTGTTTAAAATACATAGACCTGCAAAGGGAGGTCACTTAGATGCCTTGGTCATGACCAGCTTTTCCCACAGGTTTGGTCCAGGACTATGTCAAGATTTGGTCAGATTTTGAGTAGCCCTGATCAATTAGTTATGGATGATAATTTAAATACCATGCATAAATTTTTGACTACTCGCCCAGGGTCTTCAACTTCAAATTATTACAGTAGTATGTAGACGAAGCTATTTCCAGTGGTAGAAGGGCTGACACTTTTGTTAGGCACCAAAAATTTTCCTGGGACAAGAGTTCAAATGGGATAATAGGGGACAAGAGTTTGGACTGGCTTTTGTTTATTCTGGAGAGTGATTCACTTTTACCAGAGCATTTCTTGACAGCTGATTCTGTTAGGTGAGAAGGTGGACCAGCATGAAGATATTGGATGTCCGTAGGAGAAAAGGAAGGGTGAGGGTTGAAGGCATGAGGTGAAAAGGACTGCTGGAAAGGATAAAAGAAAGGTGCAGGGATTCTGAAAATAAACTTGATGAAGTTGACTACCACATTTT